TTTAGATGTTTTATTTAAACTTTAGTATTAATTTCATCAGATCACAGACCCAGATTTATTTGCTTTTAACCAGAGGACTATAATCTTTAGACTATTTTTATTCTTGAGATAAATCTACCAGAGTGAGCTGTATTCCTTTTTACTGCTAATCTGATTTGATGTTATAGCTGAGACTAATACTTGCAGTTAAGGTTACTCCTTAAACCACTATTACTCTTGTAAAGTTCACCCAAACTCTGGTACCTCTCTTTTCGACTTCTTTTTTATTATTCCTACTAGCTACAACTTAGAACTAACTAACTCTTCAGACTTCTAATCCAGATGGTTTAGTATGATATACTTATATATTCTTTTCCTCTGGTGATTCTAGCAGCCTGGTTAATTATATGCTCCTCTATACATCTTGTTATCTAGTTTATCTGATAGTTTCTATGAAGATGTTTTATGGGCTTCCATTGGTCCAATGGCACTTTGAAAGTTTGTGCTACCTCTTTACTCAGGATTTTCAAGTAGGTTTCTGTCTTCTTAGTTTCTTAGCCTTCTATGCCTAGTGGTCTTATTACATGTTTGCACCAAAGCCTTATACAACACCAGTTTTCTGCATTCTTTTATGTATATGTAATATTACACTTTGCATAGATGCTCTGAGCTTCCAATGTTAGTGGGGCCTAACTTAATATACCTAAGATTACAGATGCCCAAAACCCAACTAATTGGCAAAAGACAATTACTGTAATACAGATATAATTTCCAAAATTTGTCATTTATAGGAATTGAATCTTAAACCTGCTACTTAAGGGTTGACAACCTATCTATTTTACTAGGTTATCACACTCTTTGAATTTATTTTGTTATTTTTTAAATAAATTAAATCTTCTTAGATTTGATAATTACTTTTGTAAAATAAAAAAATTAATAATATTAATAGGAGTTGGGCTCTATAACTTAATTATTAAGCTGCTAACTCTCTACAAACAAGGTCAATAGTTTGAGTTAGACTGGAGGCAAAAATCTAAGAATTTTAATTTTATAACCTAATATAAAAGCCAAATTAGATACAAAACTTTGTGATAAGTCCTAAGATAAAGTACAAAAAAGGATTAGAAATTTTTGAAAAAAGATTGACTCTGTAAAGAGAAGGCACTATGTGTAACAACAGCATTATAAAAGGTTCTACTATATAACAATATTGCACAAGTAAGTTTTCTGAAGATGAAACAGCATCAACATCTCTATATTCAACTTGCAGAATACTTGATTGGAAGAATAATACTAATATAGCTAAAACTGGAGTGATAAGTAAAACAGTGCATATAAAGAGGATCTATAAAAAGGATTGGCCTAACCAAAATTAAAACATCTTTGATAGATACTATAAACTCTTAAAAAGCAAAACAATAGTTATATATTACAATATCATTGATGGTTATCATACTCATATATAATAAGTCAAGGTTTTAGGTTCTCTTACAATACCAAATTGAAAGTACAATAGTATAACAACTATGAAAGTATACAAAAAAGAGTACATAGTAGCTGCAGATGATAATTCAGAATTTTGATAAATCTAATTGTGCTAATTAGTACCAATATATAGAAAACTATATATACTAAATTGGTAATAAGAAGAGCAAAAAACCACTAAAGTCAACTAATTTAAGAGAAGAAAAGAGTTATTGTAAGAAGTAGATAAAGAGACTATGGTCAGATAAAATTAAAAAATATAATATTACAAGGTGGCTACAACCTTATCTTAATTAGTAATAATAGTTAAAATATTATACTACTAGTCTTAATTTAGAAAAATGTAGATATAATATCATGTTAGATATTTATATAATAATATAGTAACATAAATAAAATATAATAACTCTAGTATATTAATTTGGTATTAATTAAATAAAGTATTATGATTGGCATTATAAAATAATAATATTATTATTATTAATAATAATTTAAAAATGATAAAGATTTTAAATTTTTATAATATATAAATTTTAACAATATTACTAATAAAGAATGTTATACTTTTTCTTTTTATAGCTTTGTTAAGTTCTATTTGTACTTTTTCTTATTATAAGATTATAATAAAAAAAAGATTTAAATATTATTCATAAAATTGATTAGTATTAATATTAAAAAAGTAATTATGTATTAAAGTAATACTATATAATATTTAATGCAGACTATTAATTATTAAAATTAATTAAGTTAAGGATGTAGGTCTTATAGCTTAGCGATTAAGCTTTCATATTCTCTATATTCAAGGTTAACAGTTCAAGTCTGACTAGAAGCAAATTAAAAGATTTTAGCTTCTGTAATCTAATAAGGAGTTTGTAATTGAATGTGAAGCTTTGTAATTAAGTTCAAGTGCAATACAATAATGGAAATATGAATTTTTAGAAAAAAATCCAATCATGAAATACAGGTACTATATACAACAAACAGTTATTATACAAGGTTATAATTATAAAAAGATTGCATATATAAGTCTTTTAGACTAAAGCAGCACCAATATTCTTATACCTCCTAATATAGGCAGTATCAATATTCTTGCACCTAACTTGTGGAATATTTGCTTAGAAGGATAATTAACAGATTATGCAAATAAGTCTTAATTAGAATTCAAGAAGAGGATTTAAGAAGAAAATTCAAAAAGATGATTTAATTAGGAGAATATTCTAAAAGTAACTAAGACTAGAATAGTAAGAGAAATAGTGAACATAAGGATGGGCTGTGATAAAGGATTAGTCTAACCAAAAATTCAAAATACCTCTGACATAGCTAAATAATCTAATTATAGAAGAAAAAAATCTTAGAGATTAATGTATAATTTCCTTATACAATATAAAAGTACCAAATCAGATTCTTGGTCATACCTATATAGAAGTTTATAATAAACAAGCCTGAAATCAACTAACCAATATAAGATAAGATCTGCAAGGTAGTATAACATCACTAGGGTCAGTGTAACTCCCTAGAGTATAACCAGAATTGTTTTGCAAGTATTATCAAATAAGCTGAAAGCTTGCAATATATGGTAGTATAGTATCATTAGAGTTGAAAGAACTTCCTAGATATAACTAGAATTGTTCTGTTTATAAGTATAACCAGTCTCAGTTCTTATCATAGAAGGGAGCATCATGTTGAAGGTTAAATGCAACATCGAGTTACTGTATAACATTAAGATCTAGAGCATCTGTAGAAACAGTGACAACAGACCTGACTTGAGATATGAATTGGTTAAAAAACCAATGGTAGCAGCAGATCTGACTTAAAATATAAATTTATTACAGATTTTGGACCATTGTTGAAACACTTTAAAAAAATCAATAACAGATATACCAAAAATGAAAAGATTATAAGGATCAAACATACATAAATAGAGTCAATTTAAAAGTAATACAGTAACAAAAAAGTGAGAAATATGGAAAACAAGATAATATTAGATATAGTTAGATTAAGAGGCAGAAGAAACAAGACCAGGTAAAACATGTGAGTGAAACATAAAGGTACAATTTACAGAAAATAGTACCTCTGATATTTGGGATACTGTATTAAGTTCAGTAGGTATTTTTGTCTGTATAGTGGTTTGATGATGTACTCTAACTGCAAGTAGTTGTTAAAATAACTATGTGTAGACATGCAGTGGACATGTACTTAGGTGCCATAAGGGTAACTGAGTGAAGTCAGTAGTGTAAAATTAGATAGTATATAGTACTAGTAATAATTGATCCTAAAAATATAATTGTAAAATTTGTACTATATCAAATTAAAGCTAATAAACCAACTGGCATTGTCATCAAAGTTCAAAAAAAAAAATTGGTCAAGTTTTTATAACTAATATTTTAATATTAAGTGATTACAAAAAGTAAAACTGTAAGACCATTAAGTTAATATTTAGTTATAGTAAAAAATGTAATACTAAATATTAGATCAACATAATTTGCTATTATAATATATAAATAATAAAATGTATATTAGTTATTCTAAATTTGTAAATCAAACTTAAATATATAACATGTAAAATTATTACTATTACTATACTTTGTATAACCAACTAACAATCTAATCACTAATATAAAAAATACATAATTGTTAGTTGATTTGTTATATTCAATAATTGTGATGCTGAATTTAGTAAACAATTTAATTATTTGTAGTTAGTAATTATTATATTACATTAAAATGCCAAATAAAAAATATTAGTTGATTCATATTAAATTATTACAATATCAAGTTATTTATATTACATACTACTTTATAATAAATTATTACAGCATATATTGAACTAATAAAAATAAGCTGTAAATTAAAATAAAAAGAACTTTAGTAAAAAGATTTGTTCTAAATTTGCTTGTTTTTAAAAGAATATAAAATTTTTTATTTTTATAAAATTACTTATTTTATTCTCATTATGTTATTGCAAATACTTCCATTATCTTATCCAAGGCCTCTAAGAGAAATCTTTGTAAAAAGATTTACATACTATAAAAAAAGCAAAAATTAAAAAACCTGTTAGTTCAATTACCAATAAGGACAATTCTACATCCAATATTATACTTAATCAAGTTGATAAAAGAAAGAATATTTTCTATAAATATGTTAATCATCTTTTATTATGTTTAATTTTTTTATAGTATAGTTTTCTTAGGGTCAGTTATAACCTTTTGAGTTTTAAACCTTGGGTGGAAAAACTTAGTATAGATATGATCAAAAAATATTATCATAGGATTAATGATTTAAAAAGTAGTAATTTAGATAAAATAGGTGCTTGAATAAATAGTAAAAATAATTTTAACTTATATAATAATACAGAGTAACGGGAAGAAACTCTCATTTTATGGGTTAGGGCTCGAGAAATTCCTTCCTTCAAACGTCCGCTACTCATGCTTTTTATTAAAATTATTTTTTAGTAATTTTATATTCAATAAGCTATCTAATTAAAATCTGACAAATTGATCAAGAGTACATATTGAGATATATTATCTCTAACCCATTCAGTAAGTGTTAAATGCCATCCTGAATATTCTGTTTCCTGATGTAACATACTTCTGGAAACGAAAATTATCAAACATTTCGTTTATATTTGGAACAACGAAATATAGATGAATTGGTAAATCTTTCAGATTATTTTCCAATTTATTAAGACCGTTTACCTGTATAATGAACACATTCAGTCTGTAATAGTAGATACAAAGATAATATAAAGACCAATATTTACCTTTATATCATGTGTTTCTGCTATTGTCATTTGATATAAATGATGAATTCCATTACGATTAGGCGCAATGGCGTCAACAGATTCAAAATTTGTATTTTCAGGAATGTTATAATACCCTGGAACTATTTCATCAATATTATGAAACTGTTGATGTGGCAAATTTTGAAGGTGAAGTTCTTCTTCGGGTTGTTTAATACTATCTCTGGTTAAGCGTCGCACCGTGAAATCGCCACCTTTTCGTAAGATATCATGTGCCACCATTTCAAAGAATTTGCCAGCTAATGTACCACCAGCACTTCTCGCAAAATTTCGGATTATTTAACAATCATATCTTTTGTGCTTTTTTTATAGTGCCTGTACAAAGCCTCACATATTTCTGTTGAAGCGGGAACATATATTTTATCTGTAAAATCAGAGTTAGGAATAATATGTATGGCTTTTTCGGAATAATTATCACCTAAGTTTCCACCACCATTTTTAAGATAAACATAAGCATCACATTGAGAGACCACATCATCAACTTTCGGTTCATCATCATATTCATCAAAAACTCGTCGTGGTATACATCCCCATCGCGTGATCAACTCTTTGACTCGACTCTCAGGTATTTCATTCTTATACTTTACATTCCAAACGGTCCAAATTTCTTCTTCAGTCCAAATTGGTGCGTAATATTTCCTAACACGCCCCTTTACAAATTCATGCCACCGACCACTTTTTGGCGTCGTAACCAGAAACGTGAATATCATTTTCCATGGAGCGGGAATTACAAAATCAGCAATATAAAAACTATCTTGTGGTAATTCACGTGTTAGATCAAGAATTTTCATTACACTTATATTTGGTTTGACATGAAGGGCACGGGAATAACCTTGGAATAACTGCTCATAGATTATATCTGCTGGGGAATATCGACGAACCAAATAAAAAGCTAAATATAGCGAAAAGTGTGTTTTTCCAATGCCAGGTGATCCAATTATGATACAACCTCTTTTTTCATGAAGAGTACGATCGTATTCAATCTTTTCAATCATCTGCAAGTATGACTCCTTTATTAATATATCCTGTGTTGATATTCCATAGACAATTCCATATGGCGATTTACGGAGACGTGGGAATTTCACAAAATTCATTTTAATCTTTGTTAATTCCCCCATCACAGGTTCACCATTATTAAGTATTAGTTCATTTTGTGCATTTAACATTACACAGTTACTCAACACAATTTCGTTCCCTTTAACGCTTATGTATTCGGATAATGGTCCAGACACGAACATAGTTTTATCAATACTATCTGGTAGTTTAAGGACAATATACGCGTCAGAAAGTTCATTCCAAAATTCTTCCTCATGAGAAGTAACATGTTCACGGTTATAAAATTGAGATTCATCCGGTCGCTTCATTGGGGTGGAAAGTGATCCAGAAGTTCCTGATCGAATAAAACTACAAATTTCCTCGTTTGAAAGCAATACACTTACCAGCGGTGACAGGAGGTTGCGCGATGATGCGGATGTTAAAAAATTTAGTATTTTCAGATTCTTTGTGAAAAACTGTTTCTATAGTAGCGTTTGGGAGCAACTCTACACCTTTATAATTATTAATGTTTTCGGCAAATATTTTCGTGTTTTTGTTTTTAATACCGATAGGAATATCCACCTTCCACAGCCTCAGTTCATTTGAGTCAATTTTGGCAAAGGCATTCTTTTTCTTCTTAAATCTTTGAGGTGCCCAACGGTCATGCCGTTATCAATATCCACCGGAAAAGATTTCTCAATAGCGTCACCTAAACAAGACAGAAAAACTGACGGTTTTCCGGATTTTCTGGATTCATTAGAATAAAATTTATTAAACCTTAAATTCAACCGTTCAATTATTATATAGAATCCTAAATACGTATCATAATTTCAAACATGGGCGTTGTTATGAGCTTCCAAAAATGGTAAAGACTAAATTCTAGAAGTACAAAAATATTTTATAAAAAAGGTTTCAAAAAAAAAGGATCTTTATAACATACGACAATTACACAATTTTTTTCAATTTCGCTAGTCAATATATGCGGATCTTCGTAATACCATATCTCTATAAGAACGAACCAGTTTTCATCGCATAGTTCTCTCTTGATCTGATCACGCATTAATTGCTTCTTAAAGTCTTCCTCATTTTTGTGAAAGTGCTTTATGTATTGCTCATGTTGTTTACCCTGTACCTCTATTGCAAATCCATACTGTGGATAATAAATATCGAGTTCTAATCCTCAAGGATACTCTGGTGTTTTTAAGAAATTTGGTCTGCGAATGACAGAAGATGGGCCAAGAATCTTTGTTATGACTTCACGACATAAATTCTCATGCAATATGGGCACCATGTTTTAGCATGCTTTATACCATTAAAACTAGCAAACCATTTATGGCCTTTATTACATTCCCATTGCATTAAACCATTAATATTTTTATATTCAGGAGAAAGATATACACCGCCTTTACTGTATGCAATCTCCTTACAAGCTTCAAGACCACAAGGTTTGATGCCAGCACATTGTGCACACCATCTACCTTTATCTTTTATTAAAAATCCTTAAAACAGAATCTTGAATGGTTAAAATCCCGAATCATTAAATTTTTTAATCATTAAATAATACTCTGTTGTTCGAACATGCTAATAGAGGTTTCAAAGTTAACGTGCGGAAATCTAATTCTGATAGAAATAAATGACGTATTTATTTTCAAATGAGTGATGTATCAACTTTATTTAAATTTCCGATAAATTTGAAATAATGATTTGTCGTTGAAAAGTTAAATGAGGATTTCCAAACACTCCATTTCATTTTCCGAATTTAAAATTTTGAAATACAAATAAGACTTTTCAACTCGCATTTAATTTCAAAATGCGCCACTTATTTGTTAACTTTGAACCCCTCTAATAATGATTTTATTAGGGTAAAAAAGATAATTTTAACGCTGAAAAGCTAGAAAGACTTTAAATAAGAAAGTGGAAGGAATTAGATTATTAAAAGTCTAGATTTGTTAATTTACCCTATATCGATATAGTGTGGTCTAAAAGACCCCCTTATTATAATACCCCTCACAATTTTAGAAACCTAGAATGTATCGAAAATGATGGTACTTGGAATGTAAAATACTCCTCTTGCACCCACTTATATGTCATAATATAGATTTTTTTCGTAAATATATGAGCTTATTAAATTGGTAATTATGTTTTTAAAAAAATTTGCTGAATCTAGAGGATCATTTTATACCTCCCATACTAACCATAGTATCCCTCCGACTATAATACCCGTCTATACAGCTTAAATTGTAAAGTACCCTAATTATTTTAGACCACAATATACGGTAGTTTTTAACGTATCTATTTAGAAGTAATATATATCAACTAGTTAAAAGGTGTTACAAAGTGTCAATGAATGTTACGCAATGCAATTCATATATACATACATATTAATATCACAAATTTGATAAGTCCACATATAACATAATCCATTACGTCAAAATGTCAATTGCAAAACGACCAGAAAAAATCGATTATCCTTTAAATATTGCTGAAACATCCAACGAAGTTAACCAATTGAATTTAGAAGATAAGCCAAAGGATTTTCTTAATGAAATTATTAAAGAAATGTATAATTTACTTAATAAAGGATTGAAAGACAAATGTATCAATTCTATTCTTGACACTTTAGAACAATTTCTAACAGAAAAAAAGCAAGATCCGGATAATATTATTAAATACTGCTTAGATAATCAATTTTATCCTATGGTTCAAATTATTCTTGCCTATTGTTATCGTTATGGTAAATGGGTTGAAAAGGATGAACATAAGGCATTCTTTTATTATCAAAAATCTGCAGAGATGGGGAACTCTTTTGGAGCAAGGAATGTTGGATATTGTTATCAAAACGGAATTGGAGTTGAAAAGGATAATCAAAAGACATTAATTTATTATCAAAAGTCTGCAGAGATGGGTCACGATGATGGATTAAATGGCGTTGGATATTGTTATTTTCATGGAATCGGAGTTGAAAAGGATGAACATAAGGCATTCATTTATTTTCAAAAATCTGCAGAGATGGGGAATTGCTATGCGATGGGTAATGTTGGTTATTGTTATCAACATGGAATTGGAGTTGAAAAGAATGAACAAAATGCTTTTGAATATTATTCAAAAACTGCGGAATATGGAGGTTGTCGTGGAATGAGTAATGTTGGTTTGTGTTATCAAAAAGGGATTGGTGTAGAAAAGAGTAAAGAATTGGCATTTCGGTGGTATTTAAAATCGGCTGCTACTAAACATAAATGTAAATTTAATAAATATTTCCGTCGGATAGAATACAATAATTTTAGAAATATTGAAGAAGTAGGTAAAGGTGAATTTTCTATAGTGTATAAAGCATTATATGAAAAAAATGAAGTTGCAATCAAAGTAATAAAAGATTCGCATAAAATTGGGAACCATTTTTTAAACGAGGTATATTGTTTTTATTTTAAGCGTAAATTTTATATTGTTTATGAATTAATAGTATATAATATGTCTGTTTTTAGTTAAAAGCGTATCACGAATTTGATAAATACAAAGCTTTATCAATGGATAAAAATACTGGAGATTTTATTTTAGTGTTAAATTACGCAAAATTTGGGTCATTACATGAAAATCTTAAAGATATATTTAAATTAGAGTGGAAATTTAAACTAAAAATATTATGCGATATTGTTAATGATCTATCAGATATTCATTCTAAAAACTTTATACATCGAAATTTATATCCTGGTAATATTCTACTAAAAGAACGATATGAAACTTATATTGATTTAGGTTCATCAATATCGTGTGATGAAAAACAGGATGGTAATATTTATGGTGTTTTACCATATTTAGCACCCGAGGTCTTGAAAGGAGAACAGTTCACTCAAGCTGCTGATATTTACAGTTTTGGAATTATCATGATAGAAATATTAACTGGACAGAGATGTTTCGATGGTTACAATTTTGATGCTGAATTAGCGGCGATGATTTGTCATGGATTACGACCTGAATTTATTATAAGGACACCAAAATGTTATATTAAATTAGCCAAACAATGTATTAATTCAGATGTGAAAAAAAGACCTACGGCTGTGGAGATTATTAATAAACTTGAGAAATGGAAAAACATTATAGTCGCCACTGATAGCAATATTAAATCAGATATGAAAAAAGGATCTAAGGTCGTTGGGATTTTTAATAAAGTTAAAAAATGGAAAAAACTTATAGTCGTCAATAATAGTAATGATGGATTAGATAAAGAGATCAAACTGCAATTTTTAGAAGCTGATATATCAATCAAAGAATTTCCAATTCCCTCGCAAAAACATGATAATACGATGTATACTTCTAAATTAATTGATACGAGAGAAATCGGTTCAGAGTTTGAAAATTTTAGAATTAATCAATAACCAAGATTTGTGAAAAAATTTCAAAGTTGTTTATAATTATTCTAAGCATTTTTATTGATTTGAATATAACAAGCATTTCATTTTTATTGATTTGAATATAACAAACATTCATTTTTATTGATTGAATATATAAGAAAAATGTGTACCAGGTTGGGTTCGGATAATCGTCCGGATAATCGTTTGGATGATAGTCCTGATGATTACTTAGCAACCTCGATTAATGCAAAGATTTTGTTGGTTAAAAGAAAAATACATATATATTATACATATGTCAATTAGGTTCTAATTTATATTGTAATTTTAGTTTGCAAAATAGTAAACAGTTTACAATAATAAAATAAGTGCCTGTAATAAGTTTTGTATCTTTTTTGCAAAAAAAAAAACATAGAAATATTATTTAAATAAAATTTTATAGTTGAATGAATTAATAATTATGACCTCTAGGGTTGATAGCATAGTGGTTATGCTCTGAGGTCACAAATCGCAAGGTTGCCAGTTCAAATTCTAGTGATGGCAATTGTAGAGATGTATTTCTAAAAATAGGGAATTGCAACATCATGGCATCAGGGATTCAGGACATTTAAGAACAGACTTATTTTCAGAAATGGCAAATGACCTGCAGTTAAGAAGTCACACAGTGACAGACACAAGTTAGAATCTGATTTGAAATAATTAAAATCATGAGACATAATATAAGGTTGAAAGTCTGACAATAAGAGATATTACATGAACTTATGATGACAGTCAGTTTTATACAAAGCTTGACAAAGCCTTCTGATCCTAGCAGAAGTTAGTATAACAATTATCTCTGAAAAGTTTAAAAGTACAGACCAGGAGAGGTTGAGGTTCAGTGATCTGGAATATTGAGAACATTAGTTTAGAAAAAATATAAAGAACATCAAGAAAGATTTCAGTAAGATTGTCAAAGGCAAAAAAAAAATAAATTTAATATTTATTTTTTTTGATAATAAGATGAGGTTTACTTATATCTTTATTAATAGAAGGAACTATCAATGTTACATGACTGTTCCTTCATTTAATTTGCAATATATAAAAAATTATTTTACAATATTAGATTATTTTGCTAGTATATGTTATGATTATAATTCTATATCATTTTATTATAATAAAAATGGTGTAAAATTATAATTATAACATGTATTAGTGATATATTCTGGTATTATAAAATAATTTTTTATATATTGTAAACTAGATGAAGAACCAGTTATGTAATATCAATAATTTTTTTTATTATTTTTGTTAGTAATTTGTAAACAATGATTAAATAAATTAAAATTGTATATAATAAAATAAAAATTATATGCAAGAATAAAAGTTCAGATTAGTTTATTTGTAACTTAAACCAACTATAATAGTTAAGATTTATCTAAATTTGTAAAATTAAACTATAATTTGAGAGAATGTTATATTTAATTCAAAAAATTGATTATATATTAAGTTTTCTAATAGTTTATTTAATTAGTGAATATATATTAAAATATTAGTATTATTTATCAAAAATATTATATAAGCATAAATATGTATAAGTTTTATTATCATTATATAAAAAATTTAGTAATATTGTTATTATATATAGATAAAATATAGGTTTGTTTTTATTTAAAAAAAAATTAATAGAAGATGGTGATTCTAGTGTAGTAGTTAGATTGTTATCCTTCAAGTAGCAGGTCTAAGGTTCAAATTTTACTTATGATAAAATTTAGAAATTATATTTGCATTACAATAACTGTCTTCTGTTAATTGATTGGCCTCATATGACTATAATCTAGATATACCAAGTTGGATCCTACTGATATTGGAAGCTTAGAGCATTTATACGAAGTATAATATTACATATACATAGAAGAATATATAACTGATGTTGTATAAAATTTTAGTGAAAACTCATAATAAGACCACTGAATGTAGAAAACTAAGAAACTAAGATGACAGAAACCCACTTAGAAATTCTTAAATAAAGAGATAGCATGAACTTTTGACAATATCATCAAACTAGTTAAAGTTTACAAAACATCTTTATAGGAACTGAAAGTTAAAACTAAGTACTAAATATATATAGAAGAGCATATAACCAACTAGGCTGCTAAACTTGTCAAAGGAAAAAAATACAAAAGTATATCATATTGGGCCATCTGAATTGGTAGTCTGACATAAAACTGCTGGCTTTGAGTTGCAGTTAGTAGAGAATAAATGAAGAAGATGCTAGAAAGATAGATACTGAAGTTCTAGTAAATTTTACAAAGATAGAAATAGTATAATATAGTAATTAAACAAGTAACTTCTATAATTGCAAGTGTTAAGTAACTATAGCATATTGCATAAACTAGATTATTAGTATAAGACATAAATGCTTTAATAAGTTTTCTATTAAAAATAAAATAGTCCTAAAGGCACTAACCAGTATCAGGAATTTGGATAAGTGTAATTTTGAAGATATTCTTATAATATAAGGAAGATTGTATATACAGAAGGTTTAAATAGTCAAGATCTCTAGTTGGCTTGCAGGTATAGCATCTAGTGTAAAACTTATATAATAATATATAAACAGACTACTTAAATTAGATACCAAAAATACACATGTGACTAGTTATAATTTTCAATGTAAGGTAGCTCCTAAAGGCATATTATATCCTATATACTTAAATAAAAATGTTACAGTCTGAAGATAGAGACTTTAATTTAAAAAAAATAAAATAAAAAAAATTAATATAATATAATTTTTATATTTGTTTGTAGTTTTTTTTATTAATATATAAAAGTAATTAAGTAGTTAAATATAAAGCAGTTTGAAAAGT